CAGCGCTGACTCTGTGCAGCCTGCACTTGTCTCTCCCCTCGTCCCTCCCTGCACTCTGCTACGTAAACAAACACAGCTTTCAGGCAGCGCTCTGCTGGCAAACACCCCCGACTTAGCAACCACTCCTAGAATAAATAAACACTCACACACTGCACGCTTACACACACACTCACTCACACGCACCCCTGGTGCTCCCTGATGGCCACTGAGTTCCCGCCGGGCCCCAGCCTCAAACATACAGGCTCTAGTCAACATTGTGACCGAGACTGCCACATTCTACCAAGGGGCCGGGACAATCTGGGACCTCGAAAGACAGCCTTGGGCCCTAGGTTCGAGGCTTGCTCTTGCTGTCCACAAACCAGCGCTTCTGGGAAGTCTCTTCTAAGAAGCCAGAAGTTAGCCCCGAGGGACCAGTGGAACACTGAAGATGCCCCAGTAACTAGTTCAGCAAATGGAAGCCCTGGGAAAGGAGGTGACTCGCTTGAGACCTTGAGAATGGACCTTACAGAGGCGGAATCTGAACCCTGGGCAGGAACTCCTCCCACTAAGGGCCCTTCCCTGCCGGTCTGTGGATTATGTTCACTAGTGTGGCCCGTGCGGTTGGATTAGTTTGAAGAGGACAAGCACCATCCCGATGGCAGATTCTGAAGAAATGAGGATTAGATGGTCAAGTCCCCTGCCTAGTGTAGGGAGATGTTCTCTACCAGGCCCGGGTAACACGAAGTAAGAGACCTCCCACAAGCTGCCACACGTCCTCACTCTTGCCTTGGAGCTTCCCAGGATCCCCCTTATCATCTCCTTGGAAAGGACAGCTTCCTGTGACCTCCAGCTCACCCCTAAGTGCTGGTACCTCCTCATCAGCAAGAGAGATGGGAAATCAGTGACCTGTGTTCCATCTGGGGAACAACAGAGGCAAAATCATTTTAGACCAAAGGGACTGAAGGTTAATACCAGGAAGTTGTATTTAACATGTAAAAAAATCAAGACAATCCAGGGGTGGGGGTGGCGTTTGACCCTACGGAAACACGGAGCTCGGTTGGGACACCTGGAGGTGTCCACAGGCCGAGATGGGCCTGGCGTCAGGCAGGAGCATGTGAGCACCAGCATCAGGCACATCCCGCTCCTGGTCTTGGCTTTTCGTTATTTGCTGTGGACGCCAGGCAACTCACCTACCTTCTTCTGTCTCTAAAATGGGGGTAATGCCCACCTTTCGTGGTTGCCGAGAAGACCAATCAGAAGCCATGTGTTAAGTATCTAGCGACACTAGCGCTGTTGCCTTCAAAAGTGATGGATGAACATGGCATGATTTTAAGTCCAAGTTTGACTTCTTTTATTGTACAGAAAAAAAAAGGCGTATTATCCGAGTGGAAACATGATGACGTGCGAAAATGAGTTATAATAAAATTGACCTGCAGAACGGAGGTATCATCATTTAAAATAGCTTCACGCTTCTGATCAGTCTGGCCTTACCCATATTGCTCAAGTCCAAGTCTTATTCATCAAGGGCTGCATAGTGTTACTGTGACCATTGCCTCAGGTACCAATGATCATGAACAAAACAATAACAGCTGAAAACAAAATATCAGTCCTGTCAGTCAAGAGTGCTCAAAGTCACCGTGAGGAATCAGAGGAGGCTTTCAGGAAGGCGCGGTGCCGGAGTCCCACCTGGAAAGATGAAGAGGGGTGCCCCCCGCGGACACGCCCAGAAAGGGCAGCGCCGTCGGAGGGAAGAGCAAGTGCAAGACTCAGAGCCATGAGAAAGCTGCTGGGGTCTGGGAGGTCGAACAATGAGCTGCAGTGTTGCTGCAGCATGAAGAGCAGGAGTGGGAAGGAGAAATGAGACTGAGCTGACAGACAGGAACCAGATTATACAAGATTTTTCATGCTGTGCTGAAGAATGTAGATTTTATCCTGAGAGTAGTGAGAAACGACTGAAGAATTTTAAGTAAAGGAGTGATGGACAAGATTTGTTTCATAAAACGATCACTCTGGTGGCTACGGATAGTACAGATGGGGCACAGTTGGGGCCGGCTGAAGGGAACCCAGTTAGGGGATGGCAGCCGTAGGCATCAAGACATAAGAGCCAGGAGCCATGGAGCTAGAGGCGAGGGGATGGATGCCCAAGAGGTCAAGTTGGCAGGACTTTGTGACCAACTGGATATTAGGGACGAGGCAGGGACCTGGGGAAATGTTGATGCCCTTGGAAATAACACTGGCTGAGTGAGGGAGCAAAGGCAGAAGAGCCGGCAGGGAGAAGGAAGGAGAGAGAGGGAAGGATGACACTGCCGAAACAGCGGAGGGAGGTCGGAAGCTGAGCTGGCCCTGCGGGAATGGCCGAGCCCAGGCAGAGAGTTGCTGAGGTAGATGGGTTTGTAGAGAGGAAGTTCTTCCTGGTGGACTTCCTTTTGTCTGCAAAACAAAGCGTGGTTGCAAAAGAGGGTCTGGGGTCTTGAGAAGAGTGGTCAGGGTCTGGGAGGGCCTCGGGGACTCACCCAGTGGGATCGCTCTGAGCTCTTGGGAAGCAACAGCGGGTCAGAGGCTGCAGACCTGGGGTGAATCCGTCATCCCACCAGAGTGATTTTCCCCAGTAGGGCTCAGTGCCCCGGAAGTACGAAGGGGAGCTGCAGGTCGTATTCATTAAGGTGTGTTTCTGGGAGTGGGTGTGCGCCCTGCTGTGCTGCACCCCTTTCCCAAGCTAGGCCTGGGAAGGAGCCTCCGGGTCATGCCCCTACTTGAAGCCCCTTTCCATCTCCAGGATAACTTTTAAAAAAGATTTTGTTCATTTATATTTAGAGAGAGGGGAAGGGAAGGGGAAAGAGAGGGAGAGAAACATTGATCGGCCACCTCTTACATGCCCCCAACTGGGAACCTGGCCCGAAACCCAGGCATGTGCCCTGACAGGGAATCAAAGAGGCCACTCTTCAATACACAGGCCAGCACTCAATCCACGGAGCCACACCAGCCAGGGCTGATAACTATTTATTTTGTTTTGGCCAACTCACCAATCCAAAGGTTAAAAATAAGCAGAGTATATATATCAAACCATTCCCAGAATCACAGTGTAAAGTAATTTAGAGGTCAATGAGTCAGATACATGTGGATTGCATTTTCCTCTAACTGTACTTGGTTAGAAAGTTCTCTACTGGCACTTGGGAGGGATGGGTCCTGTTCGGGACACCCAAGCCATTATAAAGTGGTAGAGTGCGTGCCCACATCCTGGTCCGTGGTCACTGGACAAAGTCTGGGCGCTTCTGCTGGAGACTGTGCGAGTTCCCATGACCATGGGCCACAGGGACAAACTTCTAGGAGGCAGACTTGGCACCATGGTGATAACCCAAGCCAGACCTCTGCCGGGGCCAGCCCAGGGTAAAACGTGCCCAGCGTGGCCGGCTGCTGCTAACCTCGCCCACCCGTTATCCATTATGTGTAGGTGGGAGCCTTGAAGCCGCAAGGGAAATGCCTAAATGGCACAAGGATGGCAAATTCAAGGTAATTTCAGATCGCTTCTATCACTTCTTTAGTGTTCAGAAGCTCAAAAGAGAGGATCCCTACGTGATCTGGCAGGCGCTCTTCTGGAATGACTGCGTTTGAGGTGAATGTGGAGAAGGGAAGACTGGCGTTCCTTCAGGGGCGACGGAGTCAAGGACCCGAGCCCGACTCTGGCTCTGTGATCTGACGGGAGTCGCTAAGCTTACTCTCCCCTTGGGGTTTTGGTGCCCTCCCCCCAGAAATAAAGGTTTGCCTGAGACGACGACTAAGGGCCTTTTCAGATCTGACATATCTAGTTGTACATCCTTTGTGCCTCAGATTTAAACTTGTCCTTTTCCGACTCCCCCACCTTCGTCTTTCTCCTTCCCAAGGCGCCTGGCGGCATTTGGTGAGCTGAACAAGGTTGGCCTTGTCTTCCTGTGTGTTGCTCGGACTTCGGTCCCTTCCCTATGCCGTCGCCCATCCATTGTTCAGCAAAAGTTCACTGATACCGATTTCCTTCCACCACTCTAGCTAGAGCTGGGTGACAAAACACATGGCAACCTCCCAAGGAAGAAAACACAAGTTTCCCCTGAGGTTCCAGGTCGGGCTAGGTTAGGGCCCACCCAGACCCCAAACTTCCTCCAAGTCCCTTTTTCTAGCCCTTACTTGCCCTGCTCTTACCTCAGTTGGGAGGAAGGAACGACCCACTGTTTGAGCCCCCAGCAAGGATGGAAGGGGGCCAGAGATAGGCAGGACTGATGAGGCATTGTGGCAGGTGGCAGTGGCTGGCAGCTCTCCACTCCTTGATCTCAAGGCCAATTTCTCTCGCAGGAATGATGGGGGTGGGGAGGGTGAGCCAGAGAACCTTGAGACGAAATGCTGAGCCTTTGGGGATGTATAGGACACCGGAATAGCTGTCCCACCAACAGGGATGAGGAAGAGCATTTGAACTTTGAGTTTATGTTTCTAGAAAACTCTCTTCTCTTCCTCTTTTTCTTTGCTTACTCCTTTGCTACATTATGGGGTTTCCGTGAGGTTTAGAAGAATAATCAGGATCTTACCATAACTGTCTGAATGCTAATTTACCAAGAAGGATATAACAGAGCAGCAGTGCACAGTAAGCCTCGGTGGGGGATGGCCAGCTCCCCGGGGAGCTGAAATTACCCACAATCACCCACAAGACTGGTGGCTTTCTGGCTTTTCATCCCTCTCCAGGCTGGGCTGCCCTCGCACGCTGCAGCTTTTCTGGTGACTCGAAGGCTGAGTCCAATCATCTAAGAGATGAGGTTTAGGAAACTGGGGGACATATTCACTTCCAACCAGCCACTGTCCCAGGCTTCAAAAGACCTGGCTGATGCCATCTAGTCTGTTGTCAGCTTTTAGGTAGGCTGGTCCCTGAATCATCCTGGTACGAGGTGAAACTCTCTAACCTTCTTTATATCCCCCCACCCAGAAACCTACTTTGGAAGGGAGGGGGGTGGCACCAATGATTCAAAACTCAAAGTATGTTAGGGAGGAAAGCCATCTTATCACGCTGGTCCAATCCTTCACTTTGCAAATGAGTAAACTGAGTCTCATGGAGAGGATGCTACTGTCCAAGACTCCTCACGTGCTGAGTGACAGAGCGGGGAGGAGAACCCAAGTTCCCTGAACCCTCGTAAAGAGGCGCTTTCTGTACCAGCCCCCTGCGAGCTCCCATCTAATCTCCCAGTTCCCCTTTCCTCGGGAGCCTGTCCCTTCATTCTGGGTTCTCCTCAAGGAATTTGTATACTTTGGGCCACCCTGCAAATACAGCTCCTGTGGTTTTGAACCCCATAACTTAAGATTCCCCTCTTGTTAACTATCCCTATCATCAACAAAAGTCTCCAATCTGGAAAGAGGAGCAACTTTTTTCAGACCAGTTTGCAAGCAGAGTCCTTTTTAGCAGATACTTCTTTTTCTTGAGGTCCACAGTGCTTTCCCCTCTAATGCTTCAGGACGTGCGCACGGTGGGGGAGGGAGCAGAGGTCACCAGGTTAGGCTGTGGTCTGTAAGTAAGTTGCTCTCCTGGGGCTGGAAGCGAGGTCTCCCACCTCCCCACACTCCAAGATGCATGTGAAAGAGAGGTTTCTAATGTACTAACAGACTGAGGGTCAGATAACCTGGACTTGCCTTAGAGTGCTACTCCTCATTGGCTAGGAGACGGTTTGCAAATTATCTTATCCTCCTGAGCTCAGCTTCCTCTGAACTGAAGATGGTGAAATCCACCTTGTAAGACTGTTATACAAATCAAAGCAAATGAGCAAGCTTCCTGACTGCCTGGCACACAGAAAACCTCAGTAAAGGCTACTCATTCCCTGGCCGGTGTGGCTTAGTTGGTTGGAGAGTTGTCTGGTAACTGAAAGGTTGCAGGTTCGATTCCCAGTCAGGGCACATACCTGGGTTGCGAGTTCGATCCTCGTTCTGGGCGTGTGCAGGAGGCAACCAATTGATACGTCTCTCTCACATCAGTGTTTCTCACTCTCCTTTCCTCTCTCTCTAACAGCAATGAAAAAATGTCCTCAGGTGAGGCTCATGAATAAGTAAATGAATAAATAAATTCTACTCTCCTTCCTTTGTCCTGGGTTCCCACAGCATGACTGCCTGCCTGTCACCCACAGCGTGATGCCCCCCGAAGGGTTTCAAAGCTTGTTTGTTGACAAACTGTTTCACTGCTGATTCCCTCTGTATGACAAGGGGGTTGGCTTCCCACCTTCTCCCCTCTAAGTGCCACTTCCCACCTCAGGTCCACCTAACTCAGACCTTGCTCAACCCCCTTCCTGCTGGCCACGCCCCTTCCCTGAGTTTATCATTGCAAAAGAATCTTCCCCCAATCCAAGCTACACCTGTTTTTGAAGAAATAATAATGAAGGGGAGGGAGGTGAGGGGGGTGTGTTTCCAAAAGCTGAAACTCTCTCCTCGTTGTTTCATGCAAGGTCCCAGGACCTGAGCCCAGAAGACACGTGCTGGACTGGACAGGCGACTCCTCACGGGTCCCTGCAGCCCTGCGGAGCTCGGCTTCCCCACCTGTAAAGAGGGAATTCAAAAGCTGTTTTAGTTAGCTCTTGTGAAGATGAGATTTGAAAACACAACATGTGAATCATCATAGCAAAAGCAGAAAGTAAAATACATTAATATTGCTATTATTTTTCCCCCTCCGGTTCCCCCAAGACACCTCAAGTAAGGCCAGATCGGGGGAAAGGCAGCTTTATCCTGGTTAAGCTGAGAGTGCCACATCACTGCATCCTCACCCCCACCCCAACCCCGAGCTGGGGGAGGCAGGGGCTGAAGGGTGGACCCGAGAGCATGGAGCCCGGAGCTGTCTCCTTCTCAGTCTGCTTCTGGGGGAGTGCTCTTGGCACAGAGCAACCGCTCCACATGTGCTCCAAATGCCGAAGGTGAAATCCATCACCAGGGCTCTGAGTCGAGATAAGATAGAGGAACGTAAATCACAGCTCCCTGAGATAAAAAGGCAGCCTAGGGCCTCAAAAATGCAACTCTCCTGCCAGCCGCCCACTTCTGCAGAGTTGCAAAGAGGGCTGTGCTTGGCTGGGAAGGAACCCAGATCCCTTCCTGGAAAAGTAGGAGGAACCTCACTCTTGAGCTCTCATGTTTCTCTTTTCTCTCTCCCTGTCACCACAAGTCCCAGCCTGAGAAGAGGGACAGGCATTTTTATTGAGTTGTTCTCCACGAAAGACGGTGAGGCCATTCACGGACCTCTGAGATGAAGGGCAAAGGTCTTGAGATCAGGCAGCCTAGGTTCCCATCCTCGCCCTGGTCCTGACCGTGTGGTCTTAAACCACCCACCTCATCTGGGAGCCAGAGTTTCCAACAGGGAGACTGCCAGTGTTACTTTACGGAACTGTTTCCAAGGCTGACTATGATGCTTTCTGAGGAGCATTTTGTAAAGAATCCGGCCGGTAAAAAGTGCTTCAATGAACAGTCGCTACAGTTACATGTAAGACTGCAGAGACTGGGGTGCTGGCACCTTTCTAACTTCCTGTTTATGTCACGTAGTGATCTTTTTATGATTCTCTGAACGACAATTCCCCAGAGCAAATCTGGGTGCGTCAGTCCCACCTGTTGAGTGTTTGGAAGGGTGGACCATCTCTTTGCCAAGTCTGGGTCATGAGCCTGACCATATACACAGAATTCCTGCGCCCCTGCCCCCCTCTGCCACCCCCAAATGTCAGTGTTTGAGTGCCCGCCTGGCTGGCTGAGAGCTTGGAGCAATTACAAGGAGGTGGTTTGACCACATGTAGGTTACAGAGGAAAGGAAATCATAGAAAGACACCTAGAGGCCTAAGATGGTGTTCCAGAAAGGAAGTGGCCCAGAGACATAGGCAGGAGCCCCCTTGGTCAGTGTGGTCACTCCTGCAACTGAAAGCGGCCCTTCATACCCTCCAATGTCCTCGCAGCCTTAGCCTCATCTTTCTTTCCCTCTTTCATTAGCAATCAGGACATCAGTCGCTGCCTTGTGCCTGGGTTAGGAGTCTAGTGGGAGAAGATATCTTGGTGGCTGATCTAAAGTGTGCCTACAATCTTGCTAGGGAACCGACAAACTTAGGATATTTCAGAGAGCCCGGGAACCTGGTGTCACTACTGCATAAGCCCCCATAGAATTGAGAAGGGTTTGTGGGGAGCAAGCAAGAACTGAAGGGCCCAGAAAGGTAGCGGAAGCCTGTGGATAGGTTGACGAGTTGGTAAAGCGGAGCCTGTACGTGAACATGCTGTGTGGGTGAGTCCAACGGCCAGACAGTGCAAGGAGCCCTGGACCTAAGTTCCAGTCTTGGCTCAGCCACTTAGCAGCCATTTGGGTTGGCTAACCTCTCATTTTTGGTCTTTCCCTGGGAGTAACAAAGCCTAACTTCCAGGCTTGTCACAAAGCTGGGAGGTGACATGCATAAGGCCACTTCCTGCAAAGGGGTTCTGACTGGAAGGTGTGTGGAGGTGGGACAGGCCCTTCTAGCTGGGGGTGGGTGGGGGCTGTTACCTAAGGAAGATGGGCAGTGACAAGGGTGCCGATGGGGTGGGGACTGTTGGAGTCAGTTTCTTCCTTATTCTTTATTGCTGTCCTGCTGCCCACCTGTGCTAGGGCCCCCGTAGAAAGAGTCTCGTAGGCTTAAACCCTCTCTGGGCCTAAAACCAAACCAACAGTAAGAGGCAGACAGCTGAGAAGGTCAGGGAATGACAGAACATAAGTGCATATACAAATAGACAAGATTAATTATTCCCGTTGTATACACAGAGGCTTTGCTAACACTCAGCCAATTAGAAAACTAATCTAAACAGCCACTGGCTCCCGCGTCTCTTCAGAGCTCCTCCGAACAGCTGTTCAGCGTGCACTTGCTGCCGTCCGAGCAAGTGCCCAGAGACTGCGGCTTCGGTTTGCATCCCCGCTTGAATCTCAAGGGCTCCTCAAGAGCAAAGGATGGTGTCTCTTCCGTCCCCTGGACCTCCTCTGGGGTCCGGCTGCTGTTCTGTGCCTGTCACACGTCTGAGAAGCTGCCCCCTGTTCCCCCAGAGGGACTGTCACAGCACACTCCCTGGTGCGGTGCGATGTGTCTGGGAGGTGTGTAAAGGTAAGAGCAAAGCCTTTGAAGTAGGACAAATTAGAGTTCAAAAACTCCTAGATTGCTCATTTCTGTGATCTCTCTGAGACTGCTTCCTCACCTGAAAAGAAGACAATCATTGTATGTACTTAAGAGAGATTATAAACGAAAGCATGTATTGTGAAAAACCTAGCACTGTTCTTGACTGCGCTGATGTGCCAGTGTTATTCTACTGTGGTGTACTCGAACCCCCCCGAGGTCAGGGACAACTCGACTCTGTGCCGGGCAGACTCTAAGATGGGCCCCGACAGTCCCTATGTCTCAGCATTCACAGCCCAGTGCCACCCCCTCCGCACCCCATGAGTGCGGGCAGGGCCTGGGACTTGCTTCTAATCCACAGAATATGGCAAAAGTGATGCAGTGTCACTTTGGTTGTTACATTACATAAAACAGTGGCTTCTGACTTGCTAGCTGGCACTCTTGGTTGCCTCTCAGCTTGCACACTGCAATGAGAGAGCTGCCCCATGGCATAAGCCCCAGGCAAGGTACTGAGAGCAGCCTCCAGCTCACAGCCTGCTAGGACCCGAGGCCCTCCCTCGGGGGCTGAGTTCTGCTAAACATGGTGAGAGCTTGGAAGGAGATCTTTTTCAATGGAGCTTCAGGTAAGGCCCAGCCCTGGCCAAACCTTGATTATAGCCTGAGAGACCGTGAGCAGGGTGCCCAGCCAAGCCGTGCCCAGACTCCTGGCCCCCAGAAACCACGCAATAATAAACGTGCGTTGTTTTAAGCCACTAAGCCTTATGGTAATGTGTTACTCGGAAATAGACAGCCAATACCACTCCTTTGTCTTCCTAGCACAGCACTTGGCACAGAACAGAAGCCAAGTGCGGGTCCAGTGGGCAGGGGGGATGACAGGACCGAGAATGGCCTGGCTGCGCTGGACCCCAAGGAGGGCTCTTTCTCAGCCCCCACTGCCTGTATTGTCTGTCCCATTCTCTCTCTCCTTTAGGACCCCAAGTCCCTCCTCCCTTCTCCAGTCCTCAGGATCTTGCTCTGCTTCTGGTTCCTGCACTGAGTCATTCTCACTGAATTTTATTTTCTTCCTTAAAAAAAAAAAAATCCAGCTCTCTCTCAAAAAGCTGACCCTGGTGAATTGGACTAATTTCTGATGGAAAGCAGTCTTGTCCAGAAAGTCTCTTACCCACCCTGCTGAGGAATGTGGCTGCTGCAGATATTAAAACAGACCTGCAGGCGTCTGCAGCGAGCGGGAGCTCGTGCCAGGAATGACCTCAGCCTGCACAGCGGGGCTTTTTACCTACAAAAGGCCTCTGCTCTGGGCTAGATCACCACAGAGACCTCCCTTCTCCAACCCCCCCCCTTTCTGCATACCCCACGCTGCACCCCTAGCCTAATGCCTGAGCAGAACTTCCCACCCAAGCCTGGCACCGAAATGCAGGAGCACAGTGCCGTCAGGCCTGCTATAGAGAGTGCCATGGGTCCCTTTGTCCAAGTGACTCCCAGTGACTTTGGCTGGAGCATGTGGTCCTGGTAGCTGGCGGCCACCTTTTCCTTGCCTCTTCCCCTGAGTCCACCCTGGCCCCCAGACAGCTGGGAGGAATCCTGTTCAGGTTGAGGGGTTTCAGACTTCACTCCCTCTGCAAGAGGCACCCCCATTTCCCACCCCCCTCTTGCTCAGGGAAGCCCAGGACTCTTGGGGCAGAAACTGAAGCCGGGAAGGCTCCTCCCTGCCCAGCCGAACTTCCACCCTGGCCTTGGGTGTTGTCCCACCTGATTCAGCTCCTGTTGCTGAATCCGAACTTGTCTAAGATGAAGTTGACAATCTTGTCAGTCACGGATTTCCCCCTTCTACCGAAAATCTCAGAGAACTAGGAGAAGCTCAATGCTCACCCCTGCAGGCTCTAAACTCAACTGATAATCCCCAGAGTCAGAGTCACATCTAAGATTCGCCCAGCCCATTCCCATGCACAAAGGGCTTTTCTGCACGCCTTTTCTCACAAGAACCCTCCAGTGCCTTTAGCCCCGTTTCACAAGTGAGTACATTGGAGCCGAGGAAGACTAGGCCTTGGTGTTGCAGTCACTTGGTGAACAAGTGGCAGAATAGGAGCCTAAACCAAAGTCTGGGACTCAGAGCCGCACACTCTTTCCACCACCACTCACTGCCCGAAACTGCAACGCTTGTTCAACTCTAATTTTGCATCTTAATCGTATGTTGATCCCTTTGTGTTGAAATGTGCATTCTATATGGTCCAATTCCTGTCATTTTCACCTTAGTCTTCATGCAGACCAGCCTCCGGGCAGTTAGACTGAGCGGTTCCATCCAGAGCAGCAAAGGACGGACCGCTGGCCTTCGAAATGAGGGGTCCGGGCTTTGAGTTCTGGCTCTGACACCAAGGAAGCATGCACCTTGCAGGACGGCACCTCACTGTTCTGGATGTGATCCTGGGTGGAAGGGAGAGACTGGATGCTATTGGAGGTCATGGTTAGCTCTAAACCTACATGATTCTTTGATTTGGCTCCTGGTTGGGTTCCCTCTGGCGGGGGGGGCAGTTTCCAAATTACTAGGACAGTGACTTGGCCTATTGCACATTAATGCCATCTGGAGCTCAGGCTGCTGGTGGAGAGCACTTAGCTAGCTCTTTCAAAAATGAGAGAGAGAAGGACATTGCACCCCAACTCCACCCCAGAAGGCCCCCTCATTCCTGTCTCCATCCACAGCAGGGCCTTGCGATCCCCGTTAGGTAACAGCATTAGCTCCGAGAGGCCTCTGTCCGCCTGTTGACCAGGGACAGTCGCTGGACTCTGATGCTGCACAGACAGGCTGGCACTCCCCGGATTGCACAGGGCGTCTGTGAGCTGGGCTGAAGGCTGTCACGACGCCTGCACTCAGGGAGGCCCTGCAGCTGCTCCCAGCTGTCCGGCTGAACAATGCAGGTTCTGTCAGGTCCCAGCCGAGCCTGCTCTTAGGGGGTATTCGGGTTGCAGTATTAACCGGAGGCATCTCAGCTGCTTCCTGCGCCTCGGCTATCAGCAGAGATTCCTCAGCGAAGATGCTCACTCCAGTTCTGCATCCGACCACAATGCAGGGATGGGGCACGAAGCCTTTCCCCATTGTCTCAAACCTCCTAGGCTGGGAGGGACCTCAGGATGAAGTATGCCCAGGTCTCTGCTTCCAGACCCAGAGGCAGGAGTACAGCTCAGCTTCCGGAAATCTTTGGAGCCTGCTAAGTCGCCTCCTCACACATTGAATCACTCCAGCAGGACTCTCCTAACAGTGTCCCCCCCACAGTCAAACCACTTGCACAAGCTGCTTGTACACCTTGCACTAATTTGATCCCGTCACTTCAGCAAGACATGTCCTACTATCTGTTTCCTGAGCTCAGCTGCCCCCTCCATTACCAAGCAAGGCAAATGCTGTCACTCAAGCTCAAATCCCACTCCGTCCCACCAGCACCATTTCCACAGAAATCCCAGTCCTTCTCTTGGCTTCTGATCTCTGCTGCAAGACTTACCTTCACCCCAGAACTGCTTGAGTGACATCATGAGGTTCTACCTAGTCTATTGATCCCCATGCTTCCTGGATCCTAAATGCTGACTTGGCCATTTTTGCCAATGTACTTACCTTGGCAAGTACTTTCTGTCCGTTTTGTTTTCATGGCCATTTCAGAGCCTCTCCTACCTACTGCTTCGCCTGGGAACTCCTCCAGCGTGCAGACCAGGTCTCCTCCGTCCCTCTAGACTGGTGTTGGGGCTGGCATTTCTGGTTATTGATTCTCAGGAAGTTCCACCTGAGAGCTGACCATTCAAGCCTATTTCCTGTTTGTTTGGGGCCTGGGAATATGATAAGGCTTTGGCCAGCTGCCAGCAGGCTGGCTGCTGCCATAGGCCAGTTTGGGGATCTGAAGGGGAAAATGATTTCTATCACATAAATATTATTTTGGAAAACAGCAGAGTGGAAATAATGGTTCTGCTGCATCCAGATCCGCTCTAACCCCTTCCTCGCACCAACCACCCTAGCTTGTCAAGACCGCAGCACTAGTAAGATGTTCGCGGGAGCAACGTTATTGTTCAGGGCATTCAGCCCCAGCCAGAGACACATGGAGGAGAAGTGGCTGGGAAGGGGACACACTGGGAAGGATGAGGTAAAATGTGAGCCAGGGGTTCAGCTCCACCCTCTGCAGCCTCCACAAACAAGCTGATTTCTTTCAGGCTGTTCTTGAGTCGAACGGAGGACAAGTTGGAGTCCCGATGGGGGGCAGGGGTGGCGTTTGCTGAGCTGAGTTTATAAGCACTTCCATTTTCTTAATGGCTCCCTCTTCACACATTCCTCTGCATTTTCCCTTTTTATTAATGTGGCATCTTTCCCAGGCCACTTTATGGGACCGTGTGTGTTTTCACTTATGCCCTGATTGGGTTTGATCGTGTCTCTCCCTATGAAGAAACTTCAGATCTTTTCAAGGTCCCACCCCGCCCCCCACATCCCTGCGTTTCGGTCGCCATGGGCAACCTCTGGGCTCCGGACTTCTGGGTTCATCCCTCAACTGAACCCCCAAGGGCTCCATTGTATGTATTGCCGACCACAACACCGGGCACTTGTCTGCATTAGGGTCACACCTCATTTGGAACCCAGAGAATACAGCCCAATCTGACTACTCACTGCAATCTGAAATGACTTCTGGCTCTTGCCCCCAAATCAAATAGGCCCCAGAGGATGAAGAGGAAGATTTGCCGTGACTGCAGATTTTCAGAGAAATGTGCCATAGCCCCAAAGGCCATTGCCAGAGAGGAATCCACTGTTGGAGCCACAACAGCTCCGAGAGCACGCAGCTCCCCATGGGCTGCTCTCTAAGGCCAGGAACAAGGTTCGAAGAGTCTCGAGTTGGTGTGTTCATTAAAAAAAAACACTTGTGCCTTGGCTGGTGTGGCTCAATGGATTGAGTGCAGGCCTTCGGACCGAGGAATCACTGATTTGATCCCCAGTCAGGGCATGTGCCCGGGTTGTGGGCCAGGTCCCCAGTGAGGGGTACGTGAGAGGCAACCATACATTCAGGTTTCTCTCCCTCTCTTTCTCCCTTCCTCTCTGTCTAAAAATAAATAAGTTTAAAAAAAAAGACACTTGTGCCCTGGCTGGTGTGGCTCAGTGGGCTGAGAGCCGGCCTGCAAACCACAGAGTTACCGGTTGGATTCCCAGTCAGAGCATATGTCTGGGGTGTAGGCCAGGTCCCCAGTAGGGGGTGCACGAGGAGCAACCACGCATTGATGTTTCGCTCTCTCTCTTTCTCCCTCCCTTCCCCCTCTCTAAAAATAAATAAATAAAATATTTTTTAAAAGAAAAAAAAAGACATCCGTGTTGCTCTGATCAGTGTGGCTCAGTGGGTTGGGTGTCATCCCCCAAAGCGAAAAGTTGCTGGTTCGATTCCCGGTCAGGACACACGCCTTGGTTGCGTGTTCAGTTTCTCTCTCACATATGGATGTTTCTCTTCCTCTCTTTCTCCCTCCCTTCTCCAATCCCTTTCTATTAAAAAAAAAAAAAAAAGACATTCGTGTTACTCTCAGGAACTTCGCTCTTACCCTTTGTTTTTCTTTAGCTTGTCAGTTCTGAGAGGGCCACGCCCGAGGTCTGGAGCTGACCGTGTCTGTTTGAGCTCAGTTTTACCCGCACCGCTCCAGCCTGGTCTCCAGGTGCCTGGATGGGAGCTGCGTTAATGAACACATTAAGCAACAGGTCGCATGGCGAGCCTGTGGTCTTTGGAAGCCCCCTCGCCCTCTTCTCTTTCAGAGTGCCAGGTTCGTCCTCTGTAAAATGAAGGGAAGAACACATATTCCACAGGGCTGTGAGAATTAAATGAAGTAATGTCTGGAAGGGGCCTGGAATGTTGAAGGCACTCAGTGAATGGCAGGGATTTTTATTACAAGATTGAGGGGGGTGGGGCTCTTTTGGAGAATCTGCTTTTGTTCCCTCAGCCTCATCCTCCCCGGCCGTCTCGCATGGCAGCCACTCCCTCCTGGGATGGCTGCAGACTTCAGCCTCCCCGCTCTGTTCTCAAGGGCAAGAATCTCTAAGTCCTTTGGGAAATCGAGTTCTGGGATCGTTTTTCCTGTTGTCAGCAGGCTCTGGAAGAGGCATTAGCCCCACCAGGCTTGATGTGGGAAGTTTTACAGGTACCGCTCATCTGGCTGGCAGATGTAGCTTTGCTGCAAGATACAGCTCTGTCTTCCAGATGGGAGGGTGCCTGGAAGTCCTGAGGTGGACTGGCTTCCCCCTGCTCGGAGCCAGGGTGGGGCATACTCCTGGGGCTGTCCCTCCTTCCAAACCCCTGGGGCCCTTGAGCCAAATTAAGCGGAGCTGCGGGTATCGGTGTCCCCTCAAACCTACATTCTGGCAATGGGCAGACCGCCCTTCCATCACCTCCCTCACCCCACCCTTCCCCAACACACACACACACACACACACACACTGTTTCTGGAGGAGAAAGGAGAGCACTGCACGACAGTGAGGACACCAGGACGCTCCCCCACCAGGGAAGAGTGGCATTCATTCTGTCACACACGTTCCCGAGGAGGTAAAACAGGCTAAAGAGGACGTCTTAACTTAAGATGCCCCCTCATATTTGGGCATTTTGCCTAAGGGATGATGGGGGGAGGGAGCAGAGGCCAGTCCTTCTCCCCCACTGACATTGCCCTGGACAGCAGCAGTCACAGTTTTCCGTCCCTGACGTCCCCTCTCCGCCTCCACAGAACAGGCTGTGCCTTGCCCACCAGCTGTTGATGTCCGCTTATAAGCAGCTGATGCTGCTTATTTGAGTTGGGCTTATTTGGGGACATTTATGCTAAAATGCTCCCACCTTCATTATTTCTGACCAAAATGATGTTGGCCGCAAGAGCCAGAAACCCATTCAGAGATCAACAGTGAATACAGGACAGCTACGGCAGGGGCAAAGGGACTCCACAGAAATGGAGTGCAGGCCCGTGGTTCTCTCTTCTCTTGGGCTGCCGAGCCACCTGTCTCTGCTCTCTCTTCTCTGCACATCGTCTCGGTCGGTCTGTGGTTTAATCACAGGACCCTGACTCAAGTCCTCGTTGAACATGAAGTGTTAGTTGAGCTCCCTGCAACTAAATGGGCGAAGAGTCTGTGAGTCTGTGCCTTTTGTTTCAAACTCTTAGGGGAGGGAAACTGAAAGGCTACTGTCAAGCTGAGACATTGGCTGGCCTTAGGCACTTATTCCTGGTTGAATTAGCTGTGGCCGAGGAGTGGAACGTGTGGTACAAAACATGTTTAAGGCCCTGGCTGGTGTGGCTCAGATGGTTGGAGCATTGTCCTGTAAACCAAAGGGTCATGGGTTCGATTCCTAGCCAGAGCACATGCCTGGGTTGTGAGTTCAGTCCCCAGTTGGGGCATGTGTGAGAGGCAACTGATTGATGTTTCTCCCTCACATCAACGTTTCTTTCCTTCTCTTCCCCTCTCTCTAAAATCAATGACCAAGACCTCTGGTGAGGATTTAAAAAAAACGTTTAAGGTAGCAGGAGCTGAATGTGGGGAAACAGACTCTCTGAAAAGCACACATATCTTTCCCAAGGTATATCCGGTCCCCACAGGTGGTTCTGAGGTTCACTGACAGGCAGGTAACATTTGTCTCCAGGGACTTCCTCTCTCTCCACAGGGGCTGGAGGCGGCATTCAAAAGCTGGGGAGGCAGGAACCCATGAAGCACCAAACACCTTCACAGCACTCTGGGAACATGGCGAAACTTCTTCGAAGAGTGGCTGGGGGATAGCGTCCTTGGAAATGGCACTATCTGGACTTGCATGTCTCATTCCCGCTCTGCTGCAAACTCACAGAATTGCCTCAGGAAAATGGCTTTCGCCCTGTGGGCCTGAGACTGTCTATAAGTTTAAAAATTAATTAATAATAGCACTGAATAAAGCATTGAATTAAATAATCTTTTCTCTGACTGGTGTGCCTGAGTGGACTGAACCAAAGGGTCACCGGTTTAATTCCCAGTCAGGGCACATGCCTGGGTTGCAGGTCAGGTCCCCAGCAGGGGTCTCTTGAGAAGCAACCACACGTTGATGTTTCTCTCCCTCTCTTTCTCCCTCCCTTCCCCTCTGCCTAAAAATAAACAAATAAAATCTTTTAAATAAATAATCTCCAAGGTCCTTTCCAACCTCTAAGAATTGCCAAGCTTATCTCCTTGCCCACCTGCCCAAAGCAGTTTCCCAGAAATGCAAAGAGCAGAGCGCTTTGACCTGGGACTTTGGCGGGGGCTCTGCCACCACCTCTCTCTCTCCCACGAGAGAGAAACTGCCCAGAGGCTTCTCCACCTGGCCCTGCCGCCACTCGAGATAGTCCAGGCAGCACCTTCCCAGGGGGTGGGGGCTACGACTCCCCACTTCAGGGAGCACACTTATTTCTGATTTCATAGAGGCCGAGGACAGAGCCCGGGCGCTTGGTCCCAGCCGACACCAGAGAGGGCAGCCTGGGCACCAGGGACTTGTCCAACCGCTGGGCTACCAGGGCCTGTGAGGACAGGGGAAGCTAGAGGAAAGGGTCAGCAAGGGCCTCGGGAGATCAAGGACAATAAGCCAAATGGAGGTGGAGAGGGAGAGCAGAAAATGTTCTGGGTCCTAAAGGGAAGATGGCAGGACCAGAGGAAATTGCTGTGTCTTTTGGCCGGAAATGAAGAACATTCAATGAATATTCAAAAGGCCACACTATGCAGCACCTGTTCACTC